GGGCCTGGGGACTTTGGGGCTGAGGGGCCTTTTCCCCACTGCTGCACCCGTTCCTTGTCCCAGTCCTTGTCCCTTGTGCATATTCCTGTCCTCATTCTTTCTTCCTGTCCCCTTTCCTGTCTCTTGTCCCCATTTCTGTCCCCTGTCCCTTCTCACTGCCCTCATCCCTGTTCGCCACTTCTTTGCCCTCTTACTTGTCCCTGTCTCTGTTCCCCTCCATCCCTGTCCCCTGATCCCATCCTTGTCCCCATCCCATCCCCGTCATGTCTCCATTACTGTTCACTGCCCCCTTCCCCACCACCGTCACTGCCCTCTGTCTCCCGTCTGTTTTCCCTGGCCCCATCCCCATTCATTGTCCCTTTCCCCTTGTCCTATTCCTTTCTCTGTCCCTGTCCCCATGCCCACCCCCGGGGAAGCGCCGTGACCTTCGCCGCCCACAACAATAGCAGGGCTCGTGGCAGCGCATTGTTCCCTGCCGGAGCCCCCACGGTCCCCTCCCCTCTCCGGCGCGCGGTGCAGCTGGCGCTGCCTCCCCGCTGGGCCCAGCACGGGCAGGATGAGGCCCTGGCCCTGGTGAGCGCTGCGCGACGGCTGCCACCCCACAGCTGGGTCCTGCTGCCATCCTGACAGGAGCCCCTCCGAGCTGCCGTTGTGCTCAGGGGATTCCAATGGGGAGCGGGGGGCCCCGGAAGCAGGGCTGAACTCCAGGGATTCCCATGGGGAGCGGGACCCTCCGGGAGGAGGCTGAGATCCAGGGATTCCCATGGGGAACGAGGGGATCTGGGAGCAGGGCTGAGAGACAGGGATTCCCAAGGGGAGTGGGGTGCTCCGGGAGCGGGACTGAGCTCCAGGATGCCCATAGAGAGAGGGGCTCTGGAAATGGGGCTGAGCTTCAGGGATGCTCGTAGGGAGAGGGGGACTCCAGGACCAGGGGACACTTGGGGGACACCTCAAAGGGCCGGGCTGCTCTCAACTCCGCCAGCGGAGGGAGAGACCCCGGGCTCTGAGCCACGGCAATGCCAGGGTGCTGGGGACCCCAGGCAGCCTCATCTCACTTCACCCTCCTGCCTTCAAACCCGACCCCCCAGCCCATCACACTGACGGCCTCCCTGGGCTCCGTGCGCCGGGCGGCCGCGAGCGCGAGGACGGTCCGCGTGTGCCGGGCGATTCACCCCGCTCTTCACGCTGCGTCACCGCTCGGGTGCAGGAGGGCAGCGAGACCCCAGCGCGAGACCCGG